CCGCCATTTTCCTCTTTTCAGTTTTTCATCTATTAAATTACACCACATTTTATCCAGTCATGTATTCATTTTAATTCATAGATTTATTAAACAAGTACTCTGAGCAATAACTATAGACCTATTGCTCTGTGCCCTGGAGATACAGCAGTGAACGTAACCCTTAAGTTCTCTGCTAGGCTGGATCTTATATTTAAGCAGGAAAAGACAAATAAAAACAAACAGATAAAGTACTTCGTAACAGGAAGCACTTTGAGCAGCATGAGAACATGGTTATGTAAAAAGGGCAAGAATGACTTCATGAAACTATAGAGTCTGAAGATTTTTCTTTAAAAGATGACATTTAATCTCAGACTTAAATAACATAGAAAAAAGAAAAATGAACAGGAAATATAAGTTTAGGAAGAAGCTTGACTTGTCCGAAATGGTTGGTATGGCTTTACAGTGGATAAGGATAAGAGGCATTTGAAATGAGGCCAAACAAGTAGGCAGTGGTCAGGTCATGAGGGCATATATAAATTAGCTTAAGCTTTGTAAATCATAAGTATAATGATAATCTATTGAAGGATTCAAAGCAAGATGATGATATAGGATGATTTATCTCATTAAAATGTAAGTATTTCGATATCTAATTCAAATCTTGTTTCCTTTTTGCTTCAAATCCTTTAATAGTATTCATAATTAATTGAATAAATAAGTGCTTTACATATAGTAAATGCATGGGAAATATAAATGTAATGAATGATTAGATATGCAAAATAAATTTTACGTAATTTTGTGTTTTTGTGAAATAAAAAAATCAATACTTTAAAATAAACTGTAATGTTAAGCTTTTCATTTTACCAAAACTAGTACATTTGAGTGAGTCAGTGAAATTAAATTCAATAAATATGCATTGTATTTATACGTTTTCCTTATAAAAACACTATGACAAAGCAAGGCATAGCCTCTGCCCTCAAGGAACTCAAATTCTAGTTTGGATCACAGCACTTTCTCAAGACAAAAGCAAACATGAGCTTTATCATTTTCTTCCTTCCTTCTTTCTTTCATTTTCTCTACATTAAAGCAGGCATGGTAAACAAACGAAAAGATGGAAATAATTTTAAGCAATAAAAGAGCATGTGAAGGACACTGATCATTTAGAGGTATCCAGTACCCTTAGTTCTACTGGCATCTGAGACTAATACATAACTAAACTTGGTTATAGGTTACTCTAAGCGTGACTGTAGAATGGCTCTGTGTTAGTTTGACTGGGTTGCCATAGCAAGACATTGAACTGGGTCATTTAAACAAGAGAGATTTTATTTTCTCATTGTTCTGGAGAGAGAAAGAGTATTGGGGTGAGGGGGAGAGAAAGAGAGAGACAGATTGATTATCAGATGACGGCTCCACCCTTATGGTTTCACCCTTAATTACATTCTCAAAGGCCTTGTTTCCAAAAGTGGTCACATTGCAGGGTAGGGCTTCAATATATGAATTTCAGTGGAGACAATTCCGTTCATAACATGCTCTATACCCTCCCAATTGGCTACTGCCTTAATTACCTATTAAATTACCCCTAAATGTAGCAGTGTAAACAATAAAAATCCCATTATCTTGAAGTTTCTGTGGTACAGAAATTAGGAAGAGGCTTAGCAGGTGACTGTGGCTCAGAGTCTTTAACAATTTGGAGACAAGATGCCAGCTGGTGCTGTAGTGTTCTGAAGTCTGGGCTGCAGCACATGATTACAATTTAAAACCATCACAATTGCCTCAATAATTCCTAGCTCTAGAAGTCCTTATGTTTTTAAAGAATTTTAATTCCATTGTAGATACATGCCAGTGCCTTAAAGCTAAAGGAAGTTAGAATCTATAAGGAATGGATGAGTTAGACTATTTACTCTGAAATTCAGAGAGGTGTTCCTCAGATGACTCAGTCACTGTTAATAGAAATGATAGAAAAGGGAGAGACCAGCATTTTATTACTATAAGCTGGATGACTGTGATTTTTACTAGTTCAGTACTGTTTGTTTGCATGTTAGCAAAGACTAAAAGTCTGATAATTGATTACATTTTAACATCATATATTAAATATTTCATTTTTACTGTTGGTATTGTTGAAAAGAGACATTGACCCTTACAAAAGATAGCCAGATGTGATTACTACAATTGATTTTCAACCTATGTTCATTGGCCCATGTGGTATAATTTTCTGAGGCTGTGAATATGTGCTTTGATCTTGATCTTAAACAGTAAGATATAGCACTTTGCTGCCCTTTCATTTTAGAATAGTTGATAGATTTTTTTTTTCCCCTTTGACCTGCTAAGCTATTTCAAGGACTGAGAAAAAGGCAACAGCTAAAGATGCATTTTTTGATATTATCACTGGAAATGTTTCTTCAGATGTCAACAGATATTCAGAAACCAGGAAGACTTTAACCTTGCAATAGTGTATCCTGAATTATAATTGTTTTTTTTTAAATGGTAGTGTGGTTGAAACTGAATTTTTACGAAGTGTAACACTGTGGTTTATGGTGTTGGTTCAGAGAAGACTGTAGATCTAAGTCCCAGGGGCTTGAACAGACTACTTTGCATTTTTGACCTTCGTTTTCTACAGTACAAAATGGGAGGTCAAGACTCATTTCTTTCTGAGGCCTCCCGAAGTTCTATTTTATTTTGAGGTAGAAAACACAAATTATCATTAATTCTATTGCTATGAAAATATCAAATGAAAACAGAGTTGTAAAAGTTGCAAGTTTACTTCCTACATGACCACACTAATTTAACATATATAAGAGTTTTTTAAAAAATAAAATAAAGCTATCCAGGATATAAATTTACATCAATATTAAAATTCCATGATAACATTGAGGATAACATAAAAAACTAAGGGACAGTTTTACAGACACTTAATCATCTAAGAAGTTACCTAATAAGTATCTACTAAAATATTCAGAACTTACATAACACAAACACTTTCTCTATAACACCTAGTATTATCATAGAAGTTCAGGGATATGATCTTATAAGAAATATTATTATGTAATAATTTCTGATGAGTTGATAACAATACCTTCCTAAAACATTATTACCAAAAAGATCAGTGCAAAATTTTTGAGTAAGCTGTGTTTAAGCCATAGTACTCAGACATTTATATATATCATCCCATTTAATAACTTGATTCATCATGTTACTTAAGCTAAGATTGAATGTCATTAGTTTGGGTAAATATTTGTTGTAGACAGAAGGTCAGGAGAGATGACAGTAAGTACTTGCTATGTGACCTTAAGCTGATCATCTAACCAGGCTTGACCATAATCCTCTCATCTTTGACACTGGGGTTTGAGTGATTGATTTCTTTGTGTAATGGAAAGTTATAAATTTAAAGTTAAACTTAATGATTATATAACATTAAGAAAGCTAATTAAATATATTGAGCTTTAATCTCTTTTGCTGCGAAATGGGGATATTATGATCCATTTTCCAGGGTTGCTTTAAGGATTAAATGATACTGTACATTCACTATTTCACACAAGTCCAACTCACAGTAAGTGCTTTATGTGTGGAACCATGTCTTATGTTCTCTTTGGCCTCAGTGTCCTCTTTTAAAAATAATTTCTCTAAACTTTTTATTAATAAGGCTAGCAATACTGGAATAAAATATTTCAGGTTGCTTTATTCAAATTAGCCTAGAGGGAATAAAAAGATTCCTCTCTCAGTGTGCATTGTTAATAAGGGTAAAAGAATTTTGTATTTGCATTTTATGATAGTATTTAAAGTTCATGAATATAATTATATAAGTATAATGTTATATCATGCGATCCTGTCACTCTGAAATCTCAGTACTTGGAGGAGATTTGAAATCATAATCATAGAGATTTAAGATGCAGAATTATTATTTTGGTTTAGTAAATGCCAAATAATTTTCACTAAACCTGAAAGAGCCAACTGTATTAACAGAATAAATTTATTTTTTCAGTGATACCTCCCTTCCCGCTACTCTCTTATCCAGGACCTTAGGCTAGCTTCTTGATGACTGATGCAATAGAACTGGGAACACTGAGGCAAATTCTAGAAACACCATTCAGATGGAAATTTATACCTGAATATGTTCCATGTAAGCTTTTACCAGAGAGACCAAATACACGAAATGTTATACTTTTCACAGTCAGTTCCTCCACTCTGAACTCTCTCTGTTAATGGTAGACCTAGTCCATTTCAGACTAAAAGACCTTTGGTAAGTGACAAAATGCAAAAATAGATTTTATTAATAGAAAACACAAAATAGCATGAAAGTTAAGGCAGATTAAATATAATTCTGTTAGTTTACTTAGGTGGTAAGATGCTCCAGTTTCTGAAGGATGTTGAAATTCTTTCAAGGAACTGAAGTAGAAGCCCTTTCCAGTTTATTTTATGGGTTCAAATATTCAAGGTGCCTTACCGGTCCCATGGCTCACCTTCTGCTGACAAAGCTGCCAGGCTGACCATCATAGCCTCTGTAGCCCAGGTGTTTATATTCTGGATCAGTGAAGTGTTCACAGGACCACCTGCTATGTTTGCAGTAGCATTTTAATTTTAATACTGAAAACAAAACAAGTGAACTCTACTGGATGGTTTTACGCTCCATATCATTCTTGTGTTTGTGTAATGCTATTTAGGCACATCTCATCACCTCATAGCAGCTATGCCATGTAGGTGTAAGTTGTAGGGAGAAATGAAAAATCACTTCTAGGGCTTGCCTTGAGAACTCCTTTCTGAAATGCTGTTATTGAATAAACATACGTCCCAGTTGGTCTTGGACACCCTTAGTTGAACTCTGCTGTCACAGCAAATTTATTGAAAATTCCATTTAATCCCGCAAATTTTCTGATTTAGGTAATAAATTATGTTTACTTATAATCCCCTTAACAATGATGTTAAACACCCAACACTTGTTAAGACTCTACTCTTTTCTACTTTTAAGCACTAAATTTAGAGTTGATTAAATAAACTTCTCAGGTATGACCAAAAAAATAAGTTAATAGGTTATCGGCGCCCTTCAGCACAGACGGAAGAAGGCGTCCGCTACCCGGTTCATCCAGGGGCTGCGGAACTGGGCCTCTGGGCGAGACTTGCAGGCGAAGCTGCAGCTGCGTTACCAGGAGATCGCCAAGCGGACTCAGCCTCCTCCCACACTCCCCGTGGGCCCCAGCCACAAGCTCTCCAGCAATTACTATTGCACTCGTGACGGCCGCCGGGAATCCGCGCCACCCTCGGTTGTCGGGTCCTCACCGAAGGCGCTGGCGTTAGGCAAGCCAGCAGAGAGCTCAGCTGTGGCGACCACTGAGAAGAAGGCAATGACACCAGCTCCTCCCATGCAGAGGTGGGAGCTGTCCCAAAACCAGCCTTACCTGTGACCTTGCTCTGGGCCACCTGGCTGTGCCCTCAGGGCCACCTGAGTGCTTCCCCTCCTTGTCTTCCCTCCCGGAAGAACGTGACCTAACTTATGACAAATATATCGTGCTCTACAGTAAAAAAAAAAAATAAGTTAATAGATGCTGGAACACTCAGGGGCTGAAAGAAATTGGTTGACACTTATGGCCAATGTGATAAGTGTTAAAGCAAGTGGAGGTCAGGGAATAAAATGACTGTGTTAGGAGCTACTATTAGCAATAAGTAGGCTTGTTGTCAAAAGAACTATTTAGTGACATAAGGAAAAGACTGAAACAAGAAGTTAAGAGGCCAAAAAAGAATTTGGATCTCAACAAATGAGGCTGAATGAGTAGCAAACCAACAGGAAAATTTGTAAGGTACAACACTTTAAAGAGTTATTTTCATGAGAAAAACTGTATTAAGAATTCTTGTCAGCAGCAGAAACAGTGAATATGGGTTCTAGGAATAGACTTTCAGTAACACCAGTAGCTCCTGGTCAAAGGTATCTTGGACTTCCCATATAAAAGTCATATCTCTGCTGTAGAGATAAATGGGTCATGTTTCAACCATCTCCTAATTTTCATTTTCCTGATTTGAAGCTCACTAAGCAACTTGTTTCCCTTAGGGGGGCACATCATTTATATTTCTCAGAACAAATCAGTAAATTAGCATTCTGATAAATATATATAAAAGATCAGGCTGATTCAGTTTCTTACTAATTTAATCAATGTAAAGATTTTCATAATTTCAACGCATAATGAGGCATGAGCACTACCCAGTAGGCAAATGCCATCACTGTGTCCTCTTTGTGATTAAACATTGATGTCACTCTGGGGGAAATGTCATTTTATGATTTTCTTTTTCACTTTTAGAAAAACAGTTGCATCCACTATTGTGAAGTTAATAGATGCTAAGTACAGTAAATATATTTCCAAATATATTAAAATACTGGTACTTAAAAAAATACTACATTAGGCATTCAAAGCCATAGAGTGTCAGTAGTAAGGTAGAGAGGGAATAGAACACCCATTTTCCAAATCCTTGTTCATTGGTCAGTTTATTAGCACACACATTTTAAAGCTATAGATTCAGTCACAGGGAAAATGCCAAATTTTTGCAGAAGAGCCATAAAAGTGCTTAAGTGTACTAGTCATGATTTCATTTAAAGAAATACATTGACTCTGTTCCTGGTATTTACAGGGCAGTCAGAGCCCATTAACCTGAGATGACATTATTTTCAGTTGACGTTAAACATTGTAGGCCTGTATCAGATAACATTTAAATCCTTGACTTAGTTTAACAATTGACTACATCTTTCCATCAATGAATGCTTTTTTCCCCATTTTTGAGAACTCTTGAATTAGACATGTTTTTATTTTGTATTTTTGGAAAGGTAGTACATTCATACAGCAAAAAGTTGAAAAGGAGTGAAAAAAATAGAATTAAAGTTTTCTCCTCTCTTTAGCCCCCACAGGGCCTAGTGTTTTCTCCAGAAATGTCTACTCCTACCAGTTTCTTGTATATTTCTCTCTCCAACTTGTTGTTTGAAGTACACACATGTATACATACAAAATTTTATTATTTTTACACAGGAAAACACTATACTAATTACTCTTTGCTTTGCTTTTAAAAAAAGTTTCCATATAGCTTACCTTTCTTTTTTATATCAGTTTAAATGGAACTTTCTTATTCTTTTTAATGATGCATAGCACTTCACTGAATCTGTAATTGATTTGAACTAGCCTCAGTTAATAAACATACATATTATTTCCAGTGCTACCCTGAATTCGTTGTTCATTTGCTAATTTAATCTGATGTGAGAAAGCTAAATAATGAAGGATAGAATATCTGGGTAAAAGGATAAGTGAATTTAAAAATTTTACAGATGTTGTCAGATTGCAATAGACAGTATTTCAGTTTACATTTCCTCCAAGTGTATGCAGCGGTATAGGAAAATGCCCTTTTCCCCAGCATTGCCCACAGTGTGTGGAATCCAACCTTTAGTTTCTTTGTCCATATCCTCAGTGAAAAACAGTCTCTACTTGCAGCTAAAGTTTATAAATATTTCCTTCCTTGGAGGAAGACAATGCTAGTGACCTTAATAACCACACTCCCCTTGTCAGTTATTAAGGGACCATTTTCAACCTTTCCTGTACGTAGATGTCTAACTTCTCACTGAAGGGATGGATTTTGTTGTTTCACTGATTCTTCTTTTTAGTAATGATTTACATTTGTGCAAGATGAGGAGATAGACCAGACATTTTACATCACAGGTAGAAGTTACACTTTTGGGGAGACCAGGCAACAATACAATGCCCGGCTATTTACACATACACTATTATATGAAACAGAAAAAAAAAATAAACTAACTTTTAAAGCTACCTTCTTTTAGCTATTGTTATTTTGATTTTTTTAAGAGGCTTAATTTGTATCTAAACTAATATAAATTATATAAGATTGTTAGTAGTTTTCTTATTGATTTGTAGGTGTTGTTATATACAAACAATAAAAAACTGAATGATTATACATAATTCCCCTCTCCAATTTAGTGTTTGACCTTAAAATTATTATAATATTTTGCTAATGTGAAGTTTTGTTGTGTTTGTGCAAATTTGTCATAAAAGTTTCCTTTTATGAAATACAAGTTTTGAGTTATTTTTTTGTAATAGTTTCCTCATGGAGTGCTTATTTTAATTGCTTTGTAAGCATATATTTATAAAAAATGTCATCTTGACACTTTCATTACATACAAAGATCAATGCAAGATTTATTACAGACCTAAAGGTATTAGAAGAAAACATAGAAAATAACTTGACAAAAAAGTGTCTAATTTTTAAATAAGAAATTAAAACTGCTAACCTACGAGGTTTTTTTTTTTAAAAAAAGATAAATTAGATATCACTAAGAGTAAACTGTACTTGAACAAAAATTTTTTAAAAAGTGAAGAAAGAGTAAAGACATTTGCTCATTAGATAGAGTAAAAATGACAAAGCATAGACCAGGAGAAGATATCTGTATATTTTCAGAAAGATATTTTTATCCAGGACACATAAAGTCAATAAGATAAAGACAGACAACCCAACAGATCAATGGACGGAAGACATTAAATCACAAGAGGGAGTGTCTAGTCAAGGAACATGTATAAAGGATGCATGGACATGAACAACAGGGTGGGGATTAACTGTGGGAGAGGGGCACAGGGGTGGGAGGGGTGGGGAGAGCAACAGGGGAAAAACTGGGACAATTGTAATCGAATAACAATAAAAAAGAAAGAAACATCAAATGTGTAATAAGTGTACAAAAAAATGCTCACCGTCATTATTCATCAAGGAAATACAAATTAAAGCCACAATAATATACCACCATATAAACATTAAAATAACTAATTTAAAAAAATACTGACAATATAAAAGTGTTGGTGAAAATTTGGAGCAACTGAAATTTTTGTAAAATTTTTATGGGAATGTACACTGGAAAACTATTTGACAGAATCTACTACAGCTGAATGTCTGACTATCTAAAAATACTATTCCCAAACAGGACTGTGTAGCTATGTTACAGAAAAAGACATGAAAATTACAAATATTCAAACATTGAAAATGATTCCATTTTAATTAATAGTAGAATAGATAAACATAGTTTGTTCACATAATGAAATACTATAAAAAGAATTAGTATAAATGATATTACATTCAATAACTACATTAAATGATATGGATAAATCTCACAACCATATTAAGCTATGCACCCTTAACAAGGGTGATATTGCCCCCAACAGTGTAGAAATTGGTTCTTGGAAGTAAAAAAAAAGTCTTATCTTTAAATGTACATAAGAAGCACCGATATAGCAAGATTGGATAATGCTTCCTTGGATAGAGTCTGAAATTTACTGTTTTCTATATTCTCTTTTATCAAGTAGTCTTACCTCCTCAGTCACAGGAGAATTCTGGTGTTGGAAGCCTTGTTCTGCTGAGCTTTGAATACACTTTTCCTCCCTTATGCATAAGGAATATGTTCCAAGATCCCTAGTGGATGCTTGAAACCAAAGATAGCACTGAGACCCTATATATACTGTTTGTTTTCTATACATATATCTCTATGATAAAGTTGAATTTATAAATTAGACACAGTAAGAAATTAACAACAAAAACTAATGATAAAATAGAAGAATCACAATGATGAAATAATAAAATAAGGGTTATTTAACACAAGCACTGGGATACCAGAACAGCCAACCTGGTAACTGATTAATGGGCAGGTAGTTATAGCCAACATAGGTATATTGGACAAAGGGATAATTCAAATCTCAGGTAGGAGAGAGTGGGGCAGCTACTCAGAATGGCATAAAATTTAAAACTTGTAAATTATTCCAGGAATTTTTTATTTAATAATTTTTGGCTGCAGTTGACTGTGGGTAACTAAAACCATGGGAAGCAAAATCGCGAATATGGGAGAGACTACTGTACTGTACTATGCAGCAAATAGAAGAAGGACATTTACATTAGGGCACATCTGTGTAAGTGCAGGGTGAGTTTCTGATGGTTGGCAACAACACTCTATGAGGATGTCCAAAGTCATGATGCCGACCCTCAGCCAGACCTAACTAAAATGTATCAGCTGCTCATCAATGCAGTTACATGCTAAAGTCCAAATCAAGGGGGTAGTCTGTATTATCTTGTCAGCCTTGTTTATATAAAACATGCAGACTGAAGGTCTGCACCTGGTTTTTGTTATGCTATCTTGATTTTCTTGACTGAGACTGTGGCTTCCTGGAAACCAAGGTATGACACATATTTTGGTGTTTTTGTGATCCATAATGAAACATGTTTTGTGTGACCAAAAACAGACTTTGGAAGCTGAGGCTGAATATCTCAGATTTGACAACCATCACCAGATTCTCCTTGGCAGACTTAAATATTCCTTCTATATATTTCTCAAAGCATCATTTTGTTGAAAATGCCTTTACTTTCACCCAAATAGATTTTGAGCTTCATAACTGCTAGCATCTGTTACTGGTATCTGTCCAGTGACTGGGCTGCTTGAAAAGTATTTACAACAAAATGAATAAATGTGTCATCTTTAGACAGAGAGTTGGTTAACACATCTAT